TATATATGTGAATCTTTTACTTTCGGTTTCAGTAGAAGACAACACATACAGTAACTATACAGCAGGTATTATCAGTGCATTAGTCAGATATTTCTTTCATGAAATGTTCCTTAATAGGACTGGAAAACTCAGTCAAAGCTAAAACCTCAATAAGGCTAAAAGAGGAATAAGAAAATATTCTTTCTCCTTATAGGTCTGCCACCCACAGAGCAATGACACATGAGCTATGTCACTGAATTTTAGTCTTAAAACAGAATTAATGACATTATGCAACTTGCATAACTGTTTTACAGAGTTTTGCAAAGTGAATATAATAATGAATATAAAATATAAGGTAGCAGGTATCAGGTAACAGAAGATGCTTTTAAGATTTCAGCCATCATAGTCATTTTGCGTTTACTCTTTATTGTACACTCCAAATGTACATTTCAATGAAATTAGACTTCTGCATATAACCCATCCCCCTGTATGTAACCTAGCCCTTGAAGCAGGGAGCAATCTGGGGTTAAGGGTCATGCTCAGAGACCCAGAGTGGCAGGCAGAGGGGTTTGGATCAAATACTAGCAGTAGACATATTGCTCAAACCACTATTGTTGTGCAAACAGTCAGATTGTTCAGCATGAATTTATTTTTTGTCCTTGTAGTTGTAAGTTCCATTAACAGTAGTGGTGTCTTGCTTTCTGATTAGACATGAAAGAATACTATCAAATTCTTCTTTTTTTGTAGTTAACAGTTAGATTCTAGACTGTGTCCTGGATTTCTTACAAAAGAAAGAGTAGGTTACAATAAATAGGGGGGTTGGGGGTGTATCCATGTCTTTATAGACTGGATGATCAATGTAACTTAGGGCTTTTTTGTCTATAATCCACATTATTGTCATGGCCTTTTATATCATGTGTTTTCTGATGTTTTTAAACTGTGTTGTGAAGCACTTTGTAGCTTTGGTCTATGAAATGTGCAATACAAATAAAACTTACTGAATAAGGCTTATACATAGTTTTCAATCTACGGTATTTTCTATTTTAGTTAGAGGTGAGTGGAAGGTTATGATGGTAAAATGGTAAAATGGCATGTACTTATCTAGCGCCTTTTTTCAAGTCAGGAGACTTGACCAAAGCGCTTTACACTACATTCATTCACCCATACACACACACACACACACACACACACTGATGGTGGCAAGCTACATTGTAGTCACAGCTGCCCTGGGGTTCACTGACAGGTACACTGGCGCCACCGGGCCCTCTGACCACCATCAGATGAATCTTACTGTCTGATTAGTAAAGGATGTCTAAGTATGGTTTAAAGATTTTAAGCGTTTAAATGTTTTAAACATATTGGTTAGGAAAATTACCGAATGATTTATCTACTTATTTCTTGGTACACTTCTTTATTTCATGGGTCATTCATATTTATTTATTTCATGATATATTTTCATTCTCCGTAAATCACATAAGAGGAATCAACTTTGTGTCATGATTAAAAAATAGAGAAAATTAATTTTGAATTAATATGAACAATAATTAAGACATGGCTATACTGTAGAAGTACAGTATATAACCTTTCTTAGATTTCATTACGCTTAAAAAAACACACACAAAGAAACTGTATTGGTGATTGGATTCCCTATTTGAAAAATTAAAGGTGACAATAAAAGAAAAAGAAAAAGTGCTTTCCTGGTTTAGGATAATCATTGACCAGAAAATTTCCAACACATTTTTCATGTTAACTTATTTGCTCTTTAGACAGGCTGGGAAGATAAATACTGTTGACTAAATAAAACATTTCCAGGTTGAAAAATTCTGACTAACTTCCTGAAAGGGATAACAGCAAAAAAAAAACAAAAAAAAACATCCCACTAGTATAAAGAGACGATGAAGAAATAAACACAATGTTCATTGAT